ATTAACCCATTCTTTGATTCTTAAGTGCAGATTAAAATGTCATTGAGACAAAAAGTGGTTGTTACCAAGTCTTCTGAAAAGTTTATTTTGGAAAGTTAATAAGAATTCTGTGCATGGATGGTTTTGTAGGTTATCTCCTCTTACAAATTTTGAAGAGCATCTTCATGTAATTCTAGTAAATTATTAATACTTTGAAATGTGGCTCAATCATCTAAAATTTTATGAATCTTTTGAACCATCAGGCAAGTTTGATATTATTTCTCAAGCAGTGTACAATTCCAATTGCTTTAAAAAGTCAAACACAGCTGCAAAACCTGTATTGGACCCAGCTTGTTCCTCGTCCATAATGGTCTGATAGCTGGGTACTTGTCCAATAGAATTCTGCATCAATTGTACTCCAATAGAATCCTGTATTGAACTCAACAATGTATAATAACCTCATATTTCTATATTCAAATTATATTGAGGAAACTTGTATGAATAAATGATTATTCTGAGAACAATGGTCATATAGGGATGCTACAGACATTGTTTGGATATTTTTGTCATTACCAGCTTCAGTCTTTGGCATTACATGCAAAAGATCAAACAGAACTATCCAATATAGCATAAATGTATTGGATACTACAGCATACAATATGGGAATTTATTGGAATGTCACATGGTATAATTCAGAACCAGCGATTGAATGTAGATAATAATTATAGAATATATTATAATAATATGTCTGTATGTATATTATAGTGAAGTACTACAAGACCAAGCAGAAGGCTACGTTAGAGGGATACAGTGGATTTTACTCTACTACTATGAAGGTGTACCATCATGGAGTTGGTAAGAAATTATTTGAAACATATTTAGGGATAGGACAATGCATATGGCCATCTTTTCAGATATGAAGATGGTTAACCAAAAACAGAATTATTGTCAAAAAGTCTTTGAATGGTTGACCAAAATTATTGAAAAATTGACAAAAACCAACTGAATGGTTGACTTGAAAGCGTATTTTGCCTCCAGATGAGCCAAACAATTTTGGACAAGAAAATCGAACTTAAGGAAAATGTACTAAGATTTTAAGAAAAGTTATAAAGATATAAGTAATAATTTACATGCTATTTGTAAATGACTGGTCTTGCAGTATTTATCACTATTTTTCGACTGCCTTATTGCCAAAGGTAACAGAGGCAATAGATGGTTCAGGTAATCCTTGGCCAAGGAGTAACTTTTTGGAAACTGTTACAGGACACCAAAAAAAATCTAAAGTTTTTATGCCCCCACAATGTGGGAGCATATAGCGTTGCACTTGTCCGTCCGTCAGTCCGTCCGTCCGTACGTCCCGAAATCTTGTGAACGCAACTCCTCTTAAACCGGATGGCAGATTTTGCTTAAACTTACAGGGATAAACAACCTTAATGTGTAGATGGTAGTAAAGGAAGGAATTTTCGCTGTGATCAAATTTAACAGAATTATGGCCCTTTGTTGATTTTTTCACTAGATACTATGTAGAAATTTTGTGAACGCAACTCCTCTTAAACCGCATGGCAGATTTCGCTTAAACTTACAGGGATGAACAACCTTAATGTGTAGATGGTAGTAAAGGAAGGAATTTTTGCTGCGACCAAATTTAACAGAATTATGGCCCTTAGTTGATTTTTTCACTATATACTATGTAGAAATTTTGTGAACGCAACTTCTCTTAAACCGCATGGCAGATTTTGCTTAAACTTACAGGGATGAACAACCTTAATGTGTAGATGGTAGTAAAGGAAGGAATTTTTGCTGCGACCAAATTTAACAGAATTATGGCCCTTTGTTGATTTTTTCACTATATACTATGTAGAAATTTTGTGAACGCAACTCCTCTTAAACCGCATGGCAGATTTTGCTTAAACTTCCAGGGATGAACAACTTTAAGGTGAAGATGGTAGTAAAGGAAGGAATTTTCGCTGCGACCAAATTTTACAGAATTATGGCCCTTTGTTGATTTTTAGTTTTCAACTTGTGGCACATGTAGTCCAAAAAATATTTGACCTAGAGTCATAAGATTGACAGAACAGTGGCGTGTGGGGGCATCCGTGTCCTATGGACACATTTCTAGTTTAGAAATAAAAACAAAAGTATGTATGAGGCATAATATGCATTTAGAGTGTGGAAATTGTTTACCAGAAGTATTTAGATGGTGTACCGCCTCCGTGGTCGAGGGGTTAGAGTCGATGACTTCTAATCCAGGTACCTCTCTGGCGTGGGTTCGATCCCCGGGAGATGCTTTGGTAGTTTAGCGCGGAGGAAGGTTGTCTAGTACTGGTGTAACTCTCCAGGAACAATGGTTAGGAAACTACCCGCCTATATGACTGAAATACTGTTGAAAAAGGCGTAAAATGAGACAAACAAACAAACATTTAGATGGTAAATTTAGTATAGTAAAAGTTGTAGAATGGTTGACAAAAATGTAAGTTTTAATTAACAGGATGTACAATACAGTATGACCTTGACATGTTTTTGTGACCTTTTTATCTCAGTTTGACCTTGACATTTCAGGTATTATCAACACCATTATGCACCATACATGAGTGATGTGAAGGATTTCAAAAATATGAACTTAAGGTTTGACCTTGGCACTCCATTTAAACCGTTTGAACAACTGATGGCAGTTTTACCTGCTGCCAGTAAAGATTTATTACCTCTTCCATATCAAGTAAGTGGCTTTGTTGCTATAATAACCCATTTTTATAAGCTTGACTATTTAAAAGAATAGGGAGAGCTATTGTCGGTCATGTCGGTGTTATCCTCAGCATAGCCATCACACTTTGACAAAGTTTTTGCGTGCAAGTTGGTGTTGCCAAAACTACAGAAGTGAATGGGTTGAAACCTTACCTTCAGCAGTCAAAGACCCATTTCTCTAAACAGATTCTGACAGAATAATGGTTCTTATTGAAATTTCTACATTATCCAGACTCTTGTTTACTATTAGTCGACAAGATGCCCTATTTACAGCTCTTGTTATATATCTTTTAGACTTTAAGATACACATAAATATTCAACAATAACATATTTGGCATAATGCCAGTATCATCATTCGAATATTTGGGCCTTTGATACATGCATTAAATAAAAAAATATATACATGTATATATAGGGAAATAATGAAAAATTATTATTTAAAAATGTCTGATTAAATCTGTTTCAAACCCAGTTATGAATGGATGAAGATTTAGAGCATCTATTTTCAAGAATGTTATTTTGAGATTTTTGTAAAACCCAAGTTAGTCAAAATCTTCTTTCCTGTTCTTGCGCCATGACCTAAATTGTGTAAGTTTGCTGTAAACCCAAACAAAACAGTTTTACTATTAACAAGAGGCTTTTGACTTGTTAATGCTATCTTTAATATGTTATATTTATGATATATATTTTAGAAACTGATGATCAATGACACATCACCTGTGATAGATTTTTACCCGCTACAGTTCGATACAGATCTGAACGGGAAACAACAAGACTGGGAAGCTGTCGTTCTCATTCCTTTTATAGATGAGGTAAAAATCTTATTATCGCGACCTCCGTGACAGAGTTCCGGTATACTAAAAAGTTACATAAAAAACACTTCCCCCATCACTGCTGTTGGTTCCAGTGCTGCACACTTTTTATTGTTTCATGTGAAGAAGCCATTCAGCTAGTTTACAGAATCATCTGAATGTTGTTAGTTTTACAATAAATGCTGTGCAATGCTATACCTAACATAATAGAAAGGGGGTGGGGAAAATGTCCTGAAAACAATGAAGAATCAAAGTTATTGAACACAAACGGGGCAACACTGCTGCATAGGTTCTAAGAATTGATGATTTTAAGTTTACTTTTATTAATTTTAATTGTTTTTCTTAAAACAAACAAATGTCTGGTGAGGGTGAATTTTTTTAGCTCACCTGTTACAAAGTGACAGGGTGAGCTTTTGTGATCGTTTTTCGTCCGGCATCCGTCTGTCCTCCGTCCATCCTTGAACTTTTACTTTAAATGACATCTCCTCATAAACCACTTAGCCAATTTCATCCAAACTTCACTGGAAAGTTCCTTTGGTGATCACCTTTAAAAATTGCTGGCAACCGAAAGAAAAAACTTTAAATATCTTCTTTAAAAAAACCCAAAGAGCTAGAGCTTAGATATTTGGCGTGAAACATCTTCCAGTGAGTGTCTACCAAGTTTGTTCAAATAAAAGCCCTGGGGTCAAAACTGGCCCTACCCCGGGGGTCATTGATTTTCCTTATTTGTGTATAGCAAAAACTTAAAAAATCTTCTTTGAAAAAAACCCAAAAAGCTACAGTTTAGATATTAAGCATGAAACATCTTCTAGTGAGTGTTTACAAAGTTTGCTAAAATAAAGCCCTGGGGTCAAAATTGGCCCAGTCCCGAGGGTCATTGATTTTCCTTAGGCAATAGAAAATAAATAACAAGATTCTCAATCAAATTTTGGGGGAAAAAGGGGCGGATGGGTGGATTTTAATTTTTATTTTCCATTTTCGCTATGAAATTACACACAAGGAGGTCAATATTTGGGAATTTGTTCTATATATTTTGTGTATGTAAGATTCAGATTGAGAATTAAGAAGCAACATGATAATATATCTTGATTGTAATGATCTAGCTGTTTTATTGAACCTTTCATATTTTGACATGTTTGGACAAAATAAAAAAACAACAATATATAGATCTACATATATTGTTACAAAATAAGACTTCTTAATTTTATAAAAGAGTTGAATAAAGATGTACTATGCCTATGCCGATCAATAGTGCTTTGAATAAAGATGTACTATGCCTATGCCGATTAATAGTGCTTTAACATGAGTAAATTAATTAATCAACCAATGAAGCTAACAAAAAACATTGCAAAAAGACAACCCTATTTATATATCACATTGCAAAATTAACATCTAAGCTATTGAAAATTTGGCAAAGAAAGTACAGAGATTTACCTAATATATTATAAAGCTATCTTATTTTCACTTTCATACCATGACTAGATATTATAAAGATTACATACAAAATCAAGCAGCACGCTGACCATGAATATTCTATGCGCAATTCATTTTTAAGGCCACAAGGACCAGCACCCTTTTGTTTATTTTTGGTTCAGAAGATTATTTCAGGCCATGACATTACACGTATTATATGATAACAACCTGGGTGAAATGTCAAAATGACGGCTTTTCTTAGTGTGGCTTTTCAATGAAGAAACAAAACAAAATGTGGCCGGTAGAAATAATCAGGGTCCTCACTAGGAATTTCAAAATCCTGACACTCCCAATTCTGCTGTTTTTTCTTGATTAATTCCATCATGGAGCTTGTCTAATATATCTGTGATTCCACACACCCCCCCCTTAAGAAGATATCCATTGTACAACACACACTGGCAAATGTCTCATTCTAAACTAATGTAAACAAAACAGTAGGTAAATTTAATTAATAAACTTTATTTAAAGTGTTATTGGACAATTTTTATCAATACAAGGCTTACTTTTGTGACTTCTTTTTTTATTATAAAAATCGGCATCGCGAAAATATGTGACAAACGAAAAAATGTCTGTTTCCTGCATAAACATTCACAATTAGTATTTTTAGATAATTATTCAGCTGCTATTCTAAAAGGCATTGTAAAACAAAATTACCAAATTTGTAGTTTACGGCAGAATTTACCGATGAACTGCTGTTTATTTGAATATTTGACTTGTCCAAAATTGTTTTTTTGTGTTTCAAACTTCAATATTGTTAAAGTTCTTTAACACATTTCATTTTAACTATCAAAACAGGTTATTTTTAGCTCTTAGAAATTTTATTTGGACCCGAGGATTATTCAGTAAGAAATTTCATCTCGGCCCGCATGATCCGATCTTTATTCAGCCAGGACCGAGACTGACGGACTTTCGGCCGCACAGATGATGATACACTTATATACTTTAAGTACCTGGCTCCCGTACACAGTAATCAAGCTAAAAACTCAATTCTTATTCTTTCTTTCTTTCTCTTTCTTTCTTTCTCTTTCTTTCTTTTTTTTTTTTTTTATACGCCCGTTTGAAAAATGGGACGTATTATGGGAACGCCCCTGGCGGGCGGGCGGCGTCCAATTTTGTCCGGAGCATATCTCCTACATGTATGGAGGGATTTTAATGAAACTTCATATAAATGTTCACCACTATGGAGGAGCAGTGTCGCGCACATGAACCAGGTCTCTAGGTCAAAGGTCAAGGTCACACACTTAGAGCTCATTGAAAAATGCTTGTCCGGAGCAAAACTTCCACATGTATAGAGGGATTTCAATATTACTTGGCACAAATGTTCACCCATTGTGAGGCGGAGTGTCGCGTGCAAGATTCAGGTCCCTTGCGGCCAAGGTCAAGGTCACACATAGAGGTCAAAGTTCAGATAAAAATATGAAGATGTGTATATGGACCATTTAGTCATCATTTATTGAGGGATTGTAACACAAATGGTCATTATTCAAGACTATGGCTGTGATACATATAATTTAGGTCAATATATACAAGGTCAAGGTCACTAAGATGATGAAATATCCAGATTTTGTAAATAGAATTTAATCAAAGGGAGACAACAAAGTTATTACTTTGTTCATAAATGACTAACACACAATTACTCCCCTTGATCTATTTTCACTTTCAATTCTAAAAATAGAATTTAATCAAAGGGCATGAAATAATCCTCTTTCTTGGACTTGAGTATGTTGTAAAGAATGTAACATTTATTTACACATGTTTTCATTCATTGGTCAAGATTCTTAACTGTGATAACTATGGTGTTCTGTAGACTTGGTATTTGTTCATAAAGATCATACAGTAATTACCTTATCAAATGTAAATACTTTCTCATAGAAATTTAATTATATTTTAATTTTCAAGTAAATATCAGTTCAGCTCATTCAAAGATTAAGAATTGTAATGAAATGTATTTCCCTAGAATAAAATCTTAAATCAGAATTTTTTAGTTATTAAATTACATGTACTTTTTATACGCCCGTTTAAAAAAAGATTAAAAATATGAAGATGTGTATAGGGACGATTTAATCATCATTTATTGAGGGATTGTAACACAAATGGACATTATAATGACTACGGCTGTGACACATGTACTTTAGGTCAATATATGCAAGGTCAAGGTCACAAAAGATGGTGAAATATCCAGATTTTGTCTGGAGCATATCTCCTACATGTATGGAAGAATTTTTATAATACTTTATGGAAATGTTCACCACCATGATATGTATTGCTCCATGCATGATCCAGGTCTCCAGGTCAAAGGTCAAGGTCACACTTAGAGCTCATTGAAAAAACGCTTGTCCGGAGCAAAACTTCTACATTCATAGGGGGTTTTCAATATAACTTGGCACAAATGTTCACCATTGTGAGGCTTAGTGTCGCATGCAAAATTCAGATCCCTGCGACCAAAGTCAAGGTTACACATAGAGGTCAAAGTTCAGATAAAAATTTGAAGATGGTTATAGGGACCATTTAGTCATCATTTATTGATGGATTGTAGCACAAATGGTAACTATCATGACTACAGGTGTTACACATTTAATTTAGGTTAATATTTGCAAGGTCAAGGTCACCGGAGATGATTAAATATCCAGATGTTGTCCGGAGCATATTTTCTACATGCATGGAGGAATTTTAATGTTACTTTTATAGAATTGTTCACCACCATGAGACGTAGTGCCCTGCACATAAACCAAGTCTCTAGGTCAAAGGTGAAGGTCACAGTTAGGCTCATAGAAAAACACTTGTCTGGAGCAAAACTTCTACATGCATAGAGGGATTTCAATATAATTTGGCACAAATGTTTCATCATTGTGAGGCTGAGTGCCGTGCATAAAATTCAGGTCCCTGCGACCAAGGTCAAGGTCACACACATTCTGTGCATATCTTCCCTATTTGATTTGTTTTAAGGTTCATTTAACAACACAGTGCCAAGAATAAAAACCTGCTTGCTAGATAACACTTATCCATAATGCCGCCATCTCCATCTAAAGCTTTTTCGTAAACGGGCGTATTTTGTGACTATGGCACCCTTGTTTTTTTTTTAATAAAAATCGTTCAGGCGGAGCAATTTTTGCCGGGCGGGCGGGGATGAGAATCTTGGAATTTATTTTAATATGTATATAGCAAAAACTTTAAAAAAACTCTTCTTTGAAAAAACCCAAATACCTAGAGTTTAGATATTAAGCATGAAACATCTTCTAGTAAGTGTCTACAAAGTTTGTTCAAATAAAAGCCCTGGGGTCAAAGCTGGCCTCCCTCTAGGGGTGTCATTGTTTTTAACTATATGTGTATAGTAATTTTTGTTTTAAAATATCTCGCAATAATAATGGACACTTTTAGATTTTATGCAAGACAAATCAATATATTTTCATTTACTATTTTTTTAGAATCGACTACTCACAGCAATTCGATCTGTAGAGCATCTTCTTACGGATGAGGAGAAGGCACGTAATGGTCATGGTCCGCACCTGTGTTACGAATATACACCGGAAGCTGGCGAGCCATATCCCTCTCCTTTACCAGATTTCCCGGACATTGCTATCAGTCATTCCAAGTAAGTTTTACAAAATAAAAAAAATTAATACCAGTTATGAAAGAAATATAAGGCATTTTATTAAAAGAAATATTCTGTTGTTTTATTCCATGTAAAAATTTTATTTTAAAGAAAGCTGCATTCTGATGAGAGAAGCATTGATTATCAACGACCAAACTTTAATTATTGTATTGAAATTATTGAGTAACAAAAAATTTGTCATGTCAAATTTAGCAACTTAAAAAAAAGAGACAATGAAGTTTATGTTATACAAATGTAATGTTGCATATTTGTTTAAACAAGAATATTGGGATACATAACAACTTATTTCTTGTGTGCAGCAAATTAAAATGAAGTCTGGCTAAGAAAAAAAAATTATGTTTATGTGAAGTTGAAGACAATGGTGTCATTTACATGTGATTTGAAAAGTTACAGAGAACAATTTTAATTTTATCTTCCAACTTTTGCTAATGTCTAAAACCTACCATCGGTTTTTAGCTCACCAGCAGACATTTTCACAAAAAATCTTACGATTTATCTTAAGTTTTTCACTTACGATAATCGTAAGTGAAATCTTAAGTCTGTTTCACAAAACCAATCGTAAGTGAAAAAAAATATCTTACGATATTTTTTTTCAAAATACACTTACGATAAATCTTAAGATAAAAAGCTTCCGTAGCAACGTACTTTCGGTTTCGGTGCGCTTGCGCAATACTAGTTTCCGGTTTCATAATCGTCTGCTTGAAAAGAAAATGGCCGCTTCAAAGAGAAAGCCAAACTGGGCCAGTGATGAACTAGACGCCCTGGCACAGGCGGTGTCAGAAAATCTTTTGACAATCAAAGGGAAATTTTCCCCTGGGTTATCAAATGCCCAGAAAATGAAATGCTGGGAAAGCATTACAGAGCGGTAATTTGACATGTATTTATATGACCTAATTTTCTCTCTTGTTGATATTCTATATATAGATGCCTATTTTTAACCCTTTTTAACGCAGGTGCGCATGACCTCGTTAATCATTGTTTACATTCTATATACATGTATAGACAACCGATAAATTCTTATGTATG